GCCCGGGCCAGGGAGGCAGGAGCCCTCGGCCCGGGCCAGGGAGGCAGGAGCCCTCGGCCCGGGCCAGGGAGGCAGGAGCCCTCGGCCTGGGCTAGGGAGGCAGGAGCCCTCGGCCTGGGCCAGGCTGTCCCTTAGCTGTGCTGCTCTCTGAAACCTGGCCCTGCTCAGCTGATCTGTAATGGCCTGAGCCATAGACATGGGACACTCCAACAGCCGTCAGGGCAGGACCTAGTCGTGGGGTGACCAGGATCAAGCAGAAGCAACTGCAATGTGAAGAACAGGAAAAGGCAGGCTGGAGAATGGGGATCCTGGAGTGAACAGCAGCAGTAGCATCAAGGAAATGAAAATGTTCCCCCCACAAGCCAATGCACCAAAGTCCAAGTTCTCAAGGCTCACGGGTGCTAAGGAATATGACCTGGAGAACCAAGGAGAAGGGGACCAGCAGTGGAAATAAAACAAGATGATTTAACTAGTATGCCTGGAACATGTTTCAGTAAGTGTAAGATCTTTGAGTAAAGCATGAATAAAATATTATAAGGAGTATGGAGTAAACAGAGCAGGTTCCCCTACTTTGAAGTCAAGAACTTGGGTATGAAAAATACAGTCATTTAGTGCCAGGAGAGTGGGCCCATCTGTTCAGAGTGTAGACTGTTCTTGCAGAGGACCCAAATTGGATCCCCACACTTACGTCAGGCAGCTCACAACTGCTTGTCACTCCAGTTCCAGGATCCTCTGGCCTCCTTACATGCACATTAGCACACATAGACACACATAATTTAAAATAAAACATCTTTAAAAAGTGGAAAATATAGTCATTTAAATAAACAACAACAAGTCCACAAAAATCAAGACCAATTCTAATGTAGATAATGTTGAGGAGAGAATTGGTAAAATAGAAGACACTGAGGGATGCTGAGAAGATGCAGACATGGAAGCAACAGGAAGAAGAAGCAGGAGCCACAGGACAAAGGGGAAGGATGAAACTATCTTTTGGAGAAGATGCTAGATGCCACCTCCTGGCTAATCATGGCTTCAGTGGATTACATCACAATACACCAGCATCACCACTGAGCGGCAGAAAATCCTGAAGAATATCAGTAGGACACATCATGGAAACACCACAAACAGTGGCAACGATAATACTACTCCATCAGCAAAGATAAGGCAAGAGGTACGTGACAAACCTTATTTAATAAAAAAAGGAAAGAAAAGAAAAAGGCCAAAGGTAGGGCTGGGAATGTAGAGTGATTGACTAGCATGCATGATTACCTGGGTTCAGTTCCTAACAATGCATAAACCAGGTGGACTAGCACAGGCTTGTGAGTCCAGCACTCGGAAAAGGCTGAGACAGAGGATTAGAAACCCAAGGTCTTCCTGATGAGATTCTAAGTTTGAGGCCAGGCTGTAGGGGTGGTTGTCTGTGCTTCACCCTGAAGCACCACCCCAGTGAGGCAGCAGGTAACTGTGAGGTACCTGCCCCCCCCCTTAAGCCCTGGGAGGAGTCGTGCTCCTCTCTCTTCACTACCTCATGGTCTTGGATGCTGGTGCTGCGGATCAAAGCAGAGCTCTCCTGAGAACGGAGTTGGATCGTGCCCCACCCCTCCTGGATTCTGTGACCAACTCAATTATTCTTGTTGTGAGTTAAACCCTGAATAAATTCCTTTGACCTTCAAATAGACTTCATGGAATTATCCCATTACCTGGCTCCCCCTTTTCCATTACCAGCCTATGATACATGAAACTTGGTATTAAGTAAGGAGAATGGCTGGAGAGATGGCTTTGAGAGCACTAGCTGCTCTTCCAGAGGAGACTAGGTTCAATTCCCAGCACCCACATGACAGCTCACTGAACTCATTGGCATTGAAGCCCTGGTCTGGAAGGGTGTCCCTGTGTTGGGGACAAGAATGGCTTCAGCTGGGGCCCATATCATATATAGCTTCAGCAGGAAACCATGGGAATGGCCTTTTCTCAGACATTTAGACAGGGGCTTCCTTGGAGGCCAGTAGATGGGACTGCTGATTGGCTCCCAGGGGCTAGTCTCGAGAAGTATCTATATGGGACTTCTAAAGCAATGCTCACAGATGCCATGGACCCCTGCAGAGATCTATCCTAAAAAGGACTATGGTGCAGCCAGGAGTACTAAAATGTATTTCACATGGCCAATAGGCATGGACCTGCTGCAGAGGCCATGGGTCACCTCTCCCCAAAAGACTGGACAAGGGAGCTGACAAGGGCTGATTGAAGGTGAAGGATCAGCCCCTGAAGATGAGCTGTCCACTGTTGAGGAAAGAGCTGATGGGCTCAGGACCTCCCCAACAGGCTCTGGCTTGGGGTAGCAGGGTAGTCTGGCTCTGATTTTTCTCTACGCTTCTCTGAGGTTTCTCCCTCGCCCATCCCTCCTCACTGCTGCCCAGAGCCCAGGAGTGATTTAGCAGGCTACCAGCCCTTGCCTTCTAGACAAACACTGAACTCCCAACCAGTCTCAGAGCTACAAAGAACAAAATAGGCCCTAGAGCTGCGCCTGCCTCTTAGACTATAATTCTGCAAGAACCGTTTTTAAAAGAGCAATCTTCTTATTCACAAGAATTACATGTTCACGGGAAAATTGCCCCTCAGGCCATTTCCACTGTGGGAGGGAGGAGCGAATGAGGCGGTTTCACATCCAGAGTCCAGCTAAAGACCTTCTTAGACAATCAAACCCACCCTCCCGTGCATCTTCCCCAGCAGGTCCTGGCCCCTACCCCAATACCTGCCCTGTGATCTTGGGGAGCTTGGTGCTGCCTTGAGCCCAGGCTTCAGGTGTAAGCGAGTCCATACAAATGTAGAGTCGCCAGAGGGATGAAATGACTGCCACCTTATTCATTTGGAGATGTAAGTGTCAAGTCCCGCATGCTTCTGCCCCCTCCTGCTTTGCTGAGGGTGGGACTGGAGTCAGACACCCTCCCCCCACCCCCACCCCCAGCCATTAGCAACACCTCTCCGGTTGCCTTTCCCCAAATACACTCTGAACACGTTTGGAGGCAGCTTGGACCAGGGCAGGGGGAAAGTGAGGCAGGTATAAGACCAGCCGGGAAGCTGGGATCGCACGATCCCGCCAAGGAGCTCTCAGGTGGGTCTCCCTGCCCTGGAGGAGGTTATTCCCATCTCCAGCCCATTTCCTCAGAAATCTGGGCCTTTACTTTATGGGGAATCTAATTGTCGGTCATTGGTGCTACTGGAAGCTCCACTGCATCCCACCTGACCCCGCGACGCGTTCTGTTGCTCAGCAACAGTTCCCATGTCTGACTTTGGGCACCTGGGTTCTGACCCTCATCACCCTAAGTCACACAACGGGTGACAGGGAGGCGCACTACACACCAAGGAAAGTTCCAGGACGTTCTCGATCCCACGGAGGGGCGGGATGGATGGAGGACCGGTGGACTCCAGGACACAAGTGCCCCTCCCTGGCCAAGTGGGGACTCGGTTCTCAGAGGGCAGGTGTGTACTCAGACTCCCTCCTCCGCGCAAACAATCGCAGGGACCCTAGATCCCGTAGGGCCTCTCTGCGTGTCAGGCCGCACGCAGCCCCATGTCTAGCCCCACTATGCCCGCCACCAGCAGACCCGAATGTGCACGCCGCTGCTTCTCCCCGACCGTCCCCCACCCCCCGGTGTCCAGCTGCAGACCTCCTAGTCTGCCTGATGCCCCCTTTGCGCCCTCCCACCTTCCCTCCGAGCCCGCGTCTCCTGAGGCCTCGGCGTTTGTCCAGTCCGCCACCCTCCCTGGCACTGGGGGCGCGCGCCACAGAGAGATCGGACCCGAGGGTGCATGAGCAGAGGGAGACATCTGGGTCCCTTGTGGCTTCTAACCTGACCCAGGCACACCGGGCGGCCTCCGGGTCTCCGAGGCCGGCGGGTCGCGAGAGAAAAGGCAGAGGGATGCCGCTCCCAGGTTGGGGAGAGGACGCCAGAGGAACTGGGGCTGAGGCAGGTGATCCCCGCAGATGCCCAGCGGAGCTTGGGGATCCTGTGCGCCGCAGGCAGGGTCCGTCCCAATGGCGGGACCCCAGGCCCGGGCTGTGTGCAGAGACAGCGGGAGGAAGCGACAGACCTGTGCGGGACAGAGTGCCCAAGCCGGAGACGGCGGGCACGGCGGCGGCACTTCGCAAGCGGGCAGCGCCCTCGGGCTCCAAGAGCATTGCGCTCACTCGATTGCAGTAGGAGGTCGGCGCCCGCCCTCAGGCTAGGGGGAGGGAGAGGGTAGAGGAGATGAAGGGGGTGGGGCGGGGCAGGGCGGGGCGAGCGCCTCGGGTAGGGTGGGGAGGCGGGGTAAGGAGGGGCGAGTTCCCGCGGGCAGGGCGAGAAAGGGGGTTTTCGAGAGGAGTGGGGGGGTCTAGGCAGTAGAGTCGGGTTGTCTGGGTGGGACTCCTGTCTCGGCAACTTCATCTGCCTAGCCCCCCGTATGGCCCAAGTCACATCTATCTATCGGTCTCCCCCAAAACCTTTTCGTAGCCCTAGGACGGTTGTCAGTGGCTTAGACCACGCCCCATCCCATCCTCTTTCCAACAACTTTGGGCTGTGACGGAAAGCTTAAGGTTGAAAGGAGACCCTCTAATGCCTGGAGAGTCTGAGAAGAGTCCTCCCGGGAATCCTCAAGGCAGAGTGCTGGCGCCTGGGATTCTCTGAGCTGGCAGACCTGGGAGTGGGACTGGGCGCTAGGCTCACTGAAGAGTTACTGACTCTTCAGTTGAGTCCCTCAGCTAGACACAGAGGCTGTCCCAGCAGCTTCCTGGCCCTGGAGTCTGCACGCAGTTCTTTAACCTGACCTGAAGTCCAGCAGTCCCACCAAGAACAGCTGAGATGCCATACATCCACATGATATCAAGACCTGGCCAAAGGATATGAGGGTCAGCCACACACTGCTTGTCCCCAAGTGGAGATGCTTCAGCCGATCAGGTAGGCGGTGCCTGGGCTTTCTCAGGTGTTCTATGGTTCTACATTTTCTCCATGGAATTTGGATTAGGTTTGTGATGAAGAGACCCAACCACATGGAGATTGCCCATGCTCCAGCTCCTCATAGTACTCCTCCCCAGCCAGACTTGGACTCCATGTTTAGGACAATTTCAACCTTTCCCTTAATCCTGGGCTCCATTTCATAAGTGACTGTCAGCTTCCCGAGGAGGCTGTACAGATCCTGCCATAAGGACACCTCCACTGTTCTGAGGAGTTCTGAGGGCAGACTGAGGCGGGCTCCTCTCTGGCTGGGGATGGTGGCGTCCAGCCCATTGCTCCCAGCAGCTGACATCTGCCCTCTCTGGTGCTCCACAGGGCACACCAAGGCAGACTGAGCCATCCTGGATACCCAGAGTCTCTGCTAGAGATGGACATGACGTGAGTGAGGCACCAGATGTTCTGAGGTGGCCTGGGTGACTGTGTGGGATGAGGAAACAGGCTGGGGTCCAGTGGAATGTCCAGAGTCCTTAGGCTGGGGAAGTAACCCTAAGGACCCTCTCTGCGTTTAAGTGGGAGACCATTTCTGAGCATTCCCAGTGGGCCAGACACAGCTGGGAACAAAAACAATACCTCTCTCACCAGCTCAGTGTGTAGCAGAGGTAACAACAACAACAACTTAACACAGAAAATTCTAGGGACCGGAGAGGTGGCTCGACAGTTAAGAGCACTGGCTGCAGGACCAGGATTCGATTCCCAGCACCCACATGGTAGCTCGAAATGGTCTGTAACTCCAGTTTCGGGGAATTTAATGTCTTCTTCTGACTTCTGTGGGCACCAGGCACACATGTAGTGCACAGACATACACTCAGGTACAACACCCACACACAGCCAGGAAGAGACTGGGGCAGAAACCGGCAGGTGTGAAGGCCCCCTGGGCAGAGAGAAGCTCTGTGGCTGAGCGAGGGAGCCCTACACAGGCGGTGGTCCCGGTGTGGCTCCTTGTTCTGTGTCACAAGGGGCCGCTTCCTGGTAGCATCCCTGTTGGCTGCTCACCTGGCCTGGGCTCCTCCAACCGGGGTGACAAAGACAGATAAGGGAGCCTTGCTCTGGAACCCACCTTCCCACCAACCAAGATCTCCAACAGGACCCCACTGAGGGTGATCTCCACCTGACCACGCCTCATACTCCATCATCAGCGGAGTGTGTGTGCCCAGCAGACAGGCAGGCAGGATCCATGTTTCTAGCTGGCTGGTCTCTTTGCTGGCGTAGACTGAGCCTACCCACATCTGAAACCCCGGCACACACACCCTCATGACCTTGCTCGGCCGCCTGGAGGTTGGCTCCTTCTCAGAGTGTTTTCCTATCGTGGGACATGGGTTGAGGGGTGACAGGAGCTGGCTTCTGGCTGCCACTTCTGAACCAGAGGTGCGGCTGGCTGGGCACAGGGTTGCCTTTGGCCTTCAGGCCTCCTGTGGGCTGGTACTAGTGGCGCACAGGCCGAGTCAGAGCGGACCTCACTCTCAGAGTCTCATATGAGGACAAGCTCTATAGGTTGGCCACTGAGGGGTGGGTGGCCAGGCCTCACTCCTCACCTCATGGAATTCAGGTCAGGCCTTCTCTCGGGCCCTGTGGCAGCAGGCTAGGAGAAACCACTGTTCCTTCTCTAGGGCAGGCTACTTCCCACAGTCTGTCATACTGGCCCGGGGGCCAGCTCTGCCCTGTTTTGTTGGCCTAAGGTTCACAAGAGACAAGCAGGTGCCTCCTCATCAGACAGCCCGTGGCGGGGGGGGGGGGGGGGGGACACACCAGTGGGCTGGCTGTCCATGTGGGGATTTAATACAAGGGCCGGAGCCAGGAAGTAACGAGTATCCAGAGCGACAGATGAAAGGATGGGTCCTGGGTCCCGAGTGTCTCCCTGAAGGAATGTGGTGTCAAGACACACTCAGCAAAGGGGCCTAGCCTGAGAGTTCAGGTTTTGTTTTAAGCTCTGTTGTGTTTACCATACACAAAGAGCCTGGTGCCTCTTGGTCCCCACTAATCCCAGGGGCTGGTTCCCGGATCTCTCTGCTGCCTCTTCTCTGAGTAATGTCTTTGTCTCTTCGGCTGCCCGGCCTTGGCCAGCACTCTAGAGACTTCTATGCAGGTGCTAGTGGCGGCCACCTTCCATTCCACAGGCCAGCAGGGGCCCCCTGAGAAAAATCGAGAGGAAAGCAGCCTTTCTCTGCAACGGGAGGGCTCCAGTGCACATTGCTTGACTCTGCCATCAGGAACCAGTCCACAGAGGGGAGATTCGGGGTCTTTAGGCACCATGGGAACTCCATGTGCCCAGGAATGCCCTTGGCCAGCCTCCTTACTATGCAGCTGAAGGAACTGAGGGCCCAGACAAGGAGCTGGGTTCCCAGTAAACCACGTCCTCCCCTGCTGAGACCTTGTGGTAGTGACAAGCCAGTCCGGAGAACACTTTGGACTGACTACGGTAAGGTTTTCGGTCAGCGGGCAGCCCCAGGATTCCTGGGCCTCCAGGCCGCAGAGACAAAGCAGTCTGGCTCACAGGGCAAGTCTCAAAGATCCCTGCCACCCACCCCTCACGTCTTGTGGAGAAACTATTGTCCACCTTCCCAGGCTGGGTTCTGGGGACTAGAGGCTGGGCCAGGGCTCCCTCAGCGTCTGCCCTGCTTACCCAAGTCTTTCCCCTCTCTGGAGACACTTGGTTTAAACCGTGCTTGTATGCTACAGCTCTCAGGGAAGTGGAGGCTCCAAGTTCTGGCATCGGCTCCCTCTGCTCTCCAGGCTCCCTGCTCAGCCCCAGTGTACCCCGCCACCAACCACTTTAAGGCCTGCCAGGCCTGAGCACTGTCGTCATGTTCCCACTTCCCCCCGCAAGGTCCCGGGATTCCACCGGCAGGAGTTGCTGACGGTGAAAAGGACAGAGCCCCTGCACAGGAAGGATGCTGGGGCTGCCTAGGCCCTCCTGGAGCCCATGATAACAGACAGGAGGTCTGGTTGCTGGAGGCCTGCTTCTGCCTTCTTGGTGACCTTTGCCCTGGGCAGGAATACCTTACCTCAGGCCGCTCTGCCAAGGAGGATCAAATAAGGTGAGGCCCGCTTGGGGACACGGCAGAGAGGTCCAGCCCCAGGAGAGGATTAGCAGCTGCCTGGAGCCATGGCAACAGGACAGTGGCCTCATGGTCTCCCCAGAGATGGTCTCAAGCACAGTTTGTGGGGACCTCTACCCTAGCTGAGACCCACACCTATGACACCTTGTCAGAGGTGCTCAGTGGCTGCCAGGGACAAAGCCCCTCCCCTCAACCCCTGACTAGGAGAAACCTCGATGCTATGAGGCTCTGTGGGTATTCAAGAGCAAACGGAGGCCGACTCCAGCCAGACGCCCTCTGTTTCTTTTGCTACCTCTGATTGGCGAGCTCAACTCAGCTGTGTCCTGAGCCTAACGTACCCAGCTTCCTTCCCAAGTGAATCCCTTCTCAAGTGAATCAGTGGGCCTTCTTTTGGGAAGATCCCACCCTGTCTCGGCTTCTCGGCTTATGTCTAGGGATCTGGTACACAGCAGTAACCCAATAAACACTGGCCAGCCCACTTCCTGGCCTCTGCTGCTGGAGCGGGCAGTGGGGCCCACGGAGAGGGAGAAGATCAGCTTCCTGGGGGGCCAGCACAGTGGGTTGCCACCCACTCGGCCTCTGGGACATTGCCTGCCAGGCTCCCAGCAGGAGCTCATGGTCACATGGGTGCAGTGCTGGACTGTCTCAGCAGGGCGGCGAGAATGTCTCAGTCAGAGAATGTTCATGTGTCACCAAGGGTTGAGGGCATCATATAGTCTGCAGATTCTAGCTGGGGAACTGGTCATAGATGGCGTCTGTGAAGGCATATGAGTGAGGTCTAAACAGACAAAGCAGAGTGTGATGCACACCCAGGGACTGGACAGACAAGGTCCCTAGACTGTTTGAAGTCCTACTCCTGGAAACCCATAGCCAATCCCCCCCCTTGGCTATGGCCACAGGATCCAGGTGCCCCTTCCCTCTGTTAAATGGGATGCATTAAAATGCAGCTTCCCAAGCCACTGGCCTTCAAAATAGGAGGTAGGGGTAAGCCACCAGGGTAGAACGGTTCCATCCCATGCACACCTTTTGAAGAGGTACCACTCACTCCTCCTGCTCCCTGCCTGCCTGTCCCTCTTGCCTCTCCAGGTCCCAGTTGTCCAGTCTTGGGCTAAAGAACCAGTAAAGGTGTCACTGGAGGGGAGAAGTCCTCACCA